CTTCATATAAGGACACTAGTCATATTGGCTTAGGGCCCACTGTAATGATCTCATTTAACTTAATTACTTATAGACTATCTCCCAAGAAGGTCACCTTCTGCAGTACTGGGAGTTAGGACTCTGCATAGCTTTCTTTTGAGAGGGGAGGGGTGCACAGTCCAACCCCGACCAGACCCCCACTGCATTATTATTGATACTTTTTGGTGAGTTATCATCATTCTCTCCTTCTCTGGAAGGCTCCTTGTGGGATCTGAACCTTGATATAGCTCATATTTATATTCTCTGTTGAGCCTCACACGATGCACACACTCCATAAATAACTTGAGTGAATGAGCGGTAAACAGTGCTCCTGAGTGAATATGGACCGCTGCCAATAATGATAGGTCTGGAGTAGACAACGTGTGATCCTAGCAACAGCTTCAGCAGATGATATGGCTGCCCCTGCACTCAGCTCTGACCTGTGGGAAGACCCCTGCCAACAACAAGAAACAATGTTTCCCCCTGGGGGCCTGAAATGTCATCATTGGCAAATGATGCTCCATGCTCAGTCTGTGATTCCTGATTCAAAAACCAGAATGGCCTCCTGCAGGAAGCACAAACATCCGGAGGGGAAGGAGCCACAGCAGGTGGGCATGGAGGAGGCAAGGGAAGGCAGCAGGATGGGAGGCAGGGTGCCTGTTTTATAATCTCCCCCGAGGCTGGGCTCGGACACTAACCATGTCTAACAGCTCCCAAATGCATTGTTTAGTTGCTTGCTTTTTTTTTTTTTTCTTTAATGGAGAAACCGTTAATCAAAAAGTACCAGTTAGGCTTGTCTGTCATTCCTGTCCCCTTTTCTTTTTCTTTGCTTCCACATAGGCATAAGCCTCCTTGTTCAGTGGTGGTTCGATATTTCTTTACCTTTACAGAGATAACACATCCAGTTAGAACCATTTCAGAGTGGATGCTAAAATGGTGTTCTGATGGCAAGGCTGGGCTTAACAATTCAGTAAGATTTAATAACAGGCAATTTATGTCAATTTCCAGATAATACAAGTCAGTTCTAATCTGTCCCTTAAGAGACTTGCAGAGCTCTGTGGCATTTGGTGTCAGAAACATTTCCCACAACTGTGGCGAGGCTGAGAAGGCACGTTGGGGCTGAGGTGTCGTGGACGCCACCTTCCTGTACTTCAGCTTGCATTCACTTCTGCTCCTGTAGCCTTTTTTTTTTTTTTTTTTTTTTTCCCCAATCTCAGCATGATGGAAAAGCTCAGTAGTGGACCAGTTCGTTATTAGAAAAGAGGGATGCTGGTCTCTTCATCTGTCTTCCCTGCTAATCCTTAAGGATCAACATGCACTGTGCATTTGAATGGTGAGCCTGGGGGGAGTGGGTATTTCCACACAAGCTCCCCACTGGACAGCCCATCCATGGTGGTGCTTATGGGAACTGAAAGCCTCTAATGTTCTCCCCTTGCAAATCCATCTTTCTAATCTAACTCCTGGGGTACCTCAATTGCATAGTCTGAAGCAGCCCGACCTTCCTTCTCTGGTGCAGAAAGCAAGGATTTGCAATGCGACTGTCCTTTAGAAGTAAGGTAGGGATTTTTCTTTGGGTCAAATGCCATAGCAATATATTCAATTTTCCATTATTTGCTTTTGAATCATTACCTTGATCTGTGACTTGCTACTGTCCGCTTGACCTTTCCTAGTCACTCACTAGTCATTGCTGTTCAGCAAGGCTTTGTACAGAGGCCTGTTTGGACACTTCTGGCCCTTACTCTGGACTGGAGATCAAGGAAGTCCCGTGAAAGCAAATCTCTAGATGCTTTCTCTGGGACCTAGCTTTATGCTGCCCACCCTCGGCAAGGAATGGGGAATGCTTGTGGGGTGGAGGCCTGGTGGGGCTGGGCCCCCACAACTGCTGACTTAGACCTTTACACTGTGGCCCAGGTGGCCTCAGACTCACACATGCTCAGATAAACATCCAAGAGGCAGCATGGGAGCCCTATTGTTAACCGAAAATTATGATGGCGAACAAATGCAATTTTCTTTAAAAAAAAAAAAAAGTATGAGCATACATCTCTGTTAATAGATGCAAAGAAAAATCTAGAAGAATGTAAACCAAATTACTGAAGTTCTTGGATTTGAGAAGTGGTGACAAAGACACTCTCCTTGACCAAACTTTAGTCAGGCTTCTCTGAGCCCAACTAGGCCCTGTCCCTGGGCATGTCCCCCAAGAGCCCAATTTTAGCACAAATCCTGTCAGGTGGGTTTAGTCAGATCCCCTACCCTCTCGTTACCGTCAGCCCTGGTATCTGATGGGGTTTGTCATTCTCCACCATCCCCCGGTGATGTCTGGTCACCCTGGCCTGGCCTCAGCAAGAATCCTGTTAGGTCAGTGTAGCCAGGGTTCCCCGTTCCCCTCATGTTTCCTTGTCGTAATTTTCTCTCCACTGACTTTGGCTATAAATCCCCACTCTTCCTCGTATTTGGAGTTGAGCCCAGTCTCTCTCCCCTATACCTTATCGCCGCTATCCCTACTGTGATCGTCTCGAACAATCTGCCTTTACTGCCTTAACAAGTGGCATGAGTAATTATTTAGCAGTGGGAACATCATGATTTTCAATTCTGAAATTATGTATTATGTTTGCTTCCTGTTATTTGCATCATATTATTATGTTGGCATTTTCCACATAAATCGTTAGTATTTTTTAAAACAGCTTTCCCGAACTATATATGGCACAAAACCCGCCTACGTAAGGTATACGAAAAGTCTTTAGAGAGACTGTGTGTGACCATCACCACAGTCCAGTTTGAGAACAGTTTCCATCACCCCCAAAAGTTCCCTGAGTGAAGGCACCCTTCACTCTTATCTCCATCCCCAGCCACCACAGATCTCCTTTCTGAATGGATTTTCTGAAATTTCATATACATGGAATTAAGCAACAGGTGGCCTTTTGCACCGGCTTCTTTGGCTTGATAATGTTTTTGAGGTTTACCCACGTGATAGTGTGTATCAGCGGGCGGTTTGTTCTCCACGTTGTTGGAGAGCGTTCCATTGTATGGACGCACTGCATTTTGCTTATCCATTTCTAGTCAGTGGACAAGTGGGCTGTTGGCGGGTTTGTGCTATTATGAATAATGCTGCTATGAACATTCGTGTGCAAGTCTCCATGTGGATAAAGTGTTACTTTTATAATCAGAAAAAAAAAATGACAAAAGTAGAGACCAATATGGATGTGGATTTTCAAGCTGTTTCTGGAATGCATCTTCTTTTAGCAAAATGGGAGCTCTGTAATTGGGGCCAAAGTTTTAAAATAAGGAGGGAAAGACGTGGGTCCCTGAGCCGGATTTCCCTGACCCTGACCTGTGCACGGCCCAAGAGGAACAGGGACAATGGTTTCTCTCCTCTGGAAACTGATGGTATTCGCACAGGTCCTTCATTGCCTCCGAACGCACGTGGCATGTCATGAGTCCCACGGCAGCTCTGATTTCAATCCCAACCCAAACGGCATTCCTCTCTTCTGAAGTCCTGTGGTTCAAAAGCAGCAAATTAAGGCAGCTATGTGACTCTGCCGGGTTTAATACTCGTTTCCCCAAGGTGGTTTGCTTTTGGAGCAGCGGTGGAGAAAGGCCTGGAACACTGGCGCGAACTAACTAGGTGAGTTGTTCAGATTCAGCAATCCTAGATTTTAGGCTGGGTCCTTTCCCCCATGTGCAAAGTTCAAAAGTTGCAGCTGGGGAGGGAAAAGCATCAGAAAACATCAAGGAAGAGAGGATCCAGGTCTGTAAGCAGGAAAGAGATGCAGGAAATGACTCGGAGGAAAAGAGGCAAACAGGAAGTCCGTAGATAAAGGGACATGGGCACTCGCTTTACAGAGAAGAGGCAGGAAGCCACTGCTGGCACCTTATCTACACTGCCGATGACACTGATCTTATTGATCTTATCTATTGCCTCAGCAGGCTGTCCATGGAAGGTCTTCCAGCAACCCGAGCTCCTGTCCGCGTAGGCAGGGATCTGGGTGACTTTGAACTGTTGGTTGCCCCGCCTCCATCCTTTGGACGCTCCCCTGGTTGCCCTACAGGCTCTGAGCCCCTCCGTCCCTCTTTGCATTCTGCCTATGGACACATACTCTGAATGCCCCTGTCTCCTTTCCCCTCTACATTTGTTTCTTTGGAAGGTTCTACTCGTTCTGGTTTAATCTGTAATTCCGAGGTGTGGGACTGCACTGCTTTACTTCAACACCAATACTTCCCTATTTCAGCTACTAACAGTAACATCAACACCAGCAGATATCAGCACTTGACAATATCCAAAGAGCTTCTGCTTGATCTTCACAGAGAATCAGTCCTAGGATGTGGGCAGGATAGCTAGTATTGACTCCTTTTCTTTCAAACTGAGGCAATCAAGGTGGTAAAGTTCAGTGACTGCCAATATCCCAGAGTCTCAGAGCGGTGGGCCCAGGGGTGGCTGATAGGCCGCAGGGTGCAGGCCCAGGGTTGGGGCACACAAGCAACGTTAAGTGATAATGTCTAAAGCCAATGTGCTCTTACCTGATGTGTTAAACTGAGACCAAAACGGGGGTGGGTGCGTGGGATGGGTGCGTGGGATGGGTGCAGTGACAACTCACAGCAGGTCTGTGGAATTCATTCAAAACCCCGGATGTGGGATTTTACGAATATAGGAGCCTGTGAGGAGTTTTCTCATTGTTAGATTTTCTAAATGCTTATATGTTCAATATTCTTAAAAAGACACTGAGATCCTAAATATGAAATGCAGAAATAGTTTTAGGGTAAAAAGCTTCTGTTGAGTGATGATTTGCAAAAATACGTCTTCAATACAGTACTCAGAACGAATGTTATGGGTCCAATGTCTATTCAGTTATATGACCCTATTATAAAATCTTGCCCTAAACTAAAAGTTATAGCACTTAATATTTAATGGCAAAATACTGATACTAGGTTAACATTTACAAAAAACCCCCACATTTTTCAGAAAGGAACATGCTTGGGATCCAATGTGAAACAATCAATTATTGTGTTTATTCTTGAAGCTTTTATTTTGGAGTCCTGTGTCACAAAATGACATATTTTGTGTTTACAACAGGTATTAGAAATTTGAGATTTTTTAAAATTTCTACTATTTTAGAGTAAAATTGGATATAATGTTCCAAACCATCATCAAAAAAAAAAAAACGCAGAGCAAACTTTTCTGTATATAAACTGTACATAAAAACAAGGCACTATACATTTCGGGGAGATATTAAGGTAGAAAGGTGGATGTGCACAGATTCTTCAGAGCCCATGCCAGGAAGTACAAATCCATTTGTTCATTTTAGCACCGGAAGCAGCACTCAGAATAAGTCAGACTTAATGCTGAAGGAGATGTTTCTGAACGTGAGTGAAGATACACAGGGGTGCGAGAGCTAATTTCACAGAAGCAATTCCATCTACCTTTTAATATTATTTTGACACCAAAAGAAAAACAATCTTAAGAGTGAATGAATACATATTGCTTTGTTAAATACATATTTGCTTTATATGGTGTTTATATAAATATATATATTTTAGAACCCACAAGTTATCAAAATAACACTTTATTAAGAGAATTGCTTCCAAAAAAGGTGGGCAGTGCGGCAGTTTCCGCACACGTGCACATAGGGACGCCTTTATTAACATTACCTGTTGAATCGTGGAAAGAGAGTTTCCAAAGGGTCCGCTTAAACATTCACAAAATACACAAATCTGGGACAAGCAGTAGAGCTAATAACTTCAGGTTTTGGAAAACTGATTAAAAAATCTTTTTTTTTTTTTTTTAATACCAGTCCAAAAAAAAAAAAAATACCCATTTCCCTGGTCCAATGGTATTGAAAGTGACGACAGAGGTTCCTCCAGCATCTCTCCCGCTCAGAACAGACCTTTTGCTTTCTTCAGGTTCACCTGCTTCCAGGCGGGCAGTGCATTGTATTCGTCCCTTGTTATGTCTAGTGCAAACTGCAAAATCGGGAGAAATGCCCAGCGGGTGAGTACAAGGACTCCCATCCCAGCCAAGCGTGTTGTTTAAACGCTATCACACGTGAAGACATGCTTACCTCAAAGTCTTCATCAGTGAGATAAAGCTCAAGCTTCAGAGGATCAACTCCCTCGGGCAGTGGCCTGGCTAGCAGATCGGCCAGTGGGTAAATGGTTTTACAGAGCTTGGCTAAGACATCTTCCACAAGGGTGATCTGATTGGAAACTTCCGTATCCTAGAGAAGAGGAGGGAGCAGAGAGAATTTCACGCCCTGCATCTGCGCAAATGCTTTACCGCGCATGGGCGCAAACACAGCCCTACTGTCCACTCTGTGTCCCAGCTGGAGAGGCTCGCTCAGGCAGAAGCAGGCTCTGAAATGGAAAGGAATTGCCCAAAGCAATTCATATAATGGAATTTGTTTAAAAGTATTTAAAAATAACCTTAAAAGGAGTCACATCCTTTCCTATCAGCCCCATTTCTTAATCTGGACTAGAAAAAGGTAAGAAAATGTGTCTAGAAGATGCTGTTGAATCTAGATTTAAAAAAAAAAACTGCATTAAACAATGAATCATGGAACATTACATTAAAAAAAAAAAAAAAACACTGTGCATGTAATCTGAACAGGTTATTCCAGGTAAACGATCTTCCTCTGTTAAACCCGGAATCCCAGATTGGCTGCCCTCCTTTTGAGTGGCGGGAATGAACGACTAACGGTGTTGCCAAATTCATCAGTGATGGTACAGACTAGCGCTCACGGAGTGGGTTTTGGAGCAAGCCTGCACCTGAGACCCGGGACAAGCTACGGCAGGTCTCTGTGCCTCCGCTCCTTCCCTAGAAAAACGAGGATAACACGAAGACTACTGTGAAAATAAAGGAGAAAATACATGCCAAGTGCTTAGAGCCGTGCCTGGCACCCAGCAAGCACCTGGCGATTGTGTTGTTACTACAGGCTGGTGTAGGAAGCCTGAAGTCCCTGGCCAGAAGCCCGTGGGCCTGCACATGATGCTCCAAGCCCACTGCCGCCCCGGGACCTACAGCGGATGCAGGGAACCAGGGCAGTTACAGCCTCTAGCTCAGACTGCAGGAGGCGGCGACGGTCCGCATCGTGCCTAGTGTGGATTGCACGTCTATGGTAAATGGAACCCTCTGCTATGACTGGCAGGCTCCTCCCCGTGTGGACCGAGTCCAGCCGGTGGCAGAGAGAGGTGAGGCTCAGCAGTGCACTGAACATCCATTGTTAAGGAGCAGTGAACTCTTTTTCTTTACACCTGTTCAGACCTCCCATAAAATACCCACGTCCTCTCCCTTGGAACAACAAAACAAAACAAAACAAAACCCCTTGGAATTGCTACTGCTTGCAATGTCAAAAACTTCTAACTTAAGAAATTTGACATAGCTGTACTAAGCTTTTTTTTTTTTCTATGTGGTTGGAAATTATAACGTTCTGGTTAATAATATGTTTTAGTAAATAAAGGTTTATGACAAATGCTTCCTGTGCTAACACCAGCTGGTCTCATAAAAGACTATTAATGAGCTATTAACACTGCTTATCGGGAGTGACTCACATTCATTCACCCAGTAATCTGAGCAGGTTAATCCATCACAGGTTTATTCTGTGTCTCCTCTAACACAAGGTTAATGTCTGAAACAAGAGGATTTTGTTGTGCCTTAGCATGGCCCTTGAGAAGCAACAGATTTTTAGCTAACAGAAGGAAGAGACGGCAGCTTTTATTTATGTATATTCTTCAGAGTAATTAAGTTCACCTTTGCTTTTCTTTTAACTTGAGCACCAGGTGTAGAAAATTAACCAAGAGTTCAAATGATTTCTTCTATTGCTGAGCTAATTCTACGTAGGCTTGTTAACGTGTTGTAAAAGAAAAAAACGTTTTCTCACTTTGGGAAAATGCAATTGGATGCTTCTCCCCAAGGTAAAGTCAACGCACAATCTGAAAGGCGGGGAGCTATCTTCACGGGGAGAGAAAGCGCGCTCACCATTTCCGTGATTTCAGCGATGTCCTCTCTGTGCTCCCAGCTGGGGAACATGTTGGTGAACGTCAGGGGCTCCAGACCAGCGTGGATAAGGTAAGACTTGGGGGGTGGCCTCTTGATATTTTTTCCTGTAGGTACACAGAAGGCAATGTCAGTACACCCAGGGGTTGGGTCCGAAGAACTGGGCTTTCTCTGATTTCCCTTGAAATCTTTTCTTGTTTGGATCCCTTATGGTTAAAATGCAAGTTTGGGAGTAGTTCATAACAACACCTGGATGATGTTTATACAAAATGTCAATTTTATGATATAATGGTGCATAAAATTGCATGTAATTGACCTGAGTCTGACAAAATGCTTCTAGAACTCTGGATGGGAGAAAGCCTCTCTCCGTGGCTTCTGGGTAAGACATTTTCTTTCTCTTGTGCTCACGTGTGGAGAATACCTTTGCCTTCCTAATGCAGCATTAGGTTCAATGACAGTTAAACAGCTAATGACAGCATTTTATAAGCCACTCTAACTTAAACATTTGGTGGAAATTTTTTAATTATCACTGACGAGCTTTTTCAAGAGAAAATCGACTATACAAACTCAGTGAAACTAATCCATGAAACCTTAAAAATTAAGAAATTAATGGCATTCTCACTTTATAAAGATACTATAAATTTTAGGTGGACAGTATAGTAAAAAGCCATGAGTTCACTATAGATCTTTTTTTAAATATATAACACTAAAAATAATAATGAATAATAAAAAGGTTGCCATCAGCTCTCCAGCCCGTGTGGGGGAGCTTCCCACTCTCAGTGTGACACTGTGTGTGGGTGGAGGCCCACGCGTCCCCAGCATGACTCATTCCCAGTGCAAAAAGGTTTTCATCAGTCCAGGGTATTCCACAATATAGCCTTTGACCTTGAGGATAGCGACTTAGGTGGCCCAGTTATATAAAAGAGAAAAATGAATTCTCATTCATGCTGATAGCCAAGAACACACTAATCTCAAATTAAGAAGCCTTAAAAAATTAAAGGGGGAAAAAAACTTGGCTTCATCACTGTCTGGCAGGCTTTTTATCAAGGCTGGCTGGCCCACACAGGAAGGGGAAGGCTGGTCTGCGGCCCCCACACGGTGGGCGAAGCCGCGGTGTGGCCGTGGCCCTCACCTTTGCAGTACTGGAGCACGGTCTCCATGGCGCTCTTCCGGTCGGAGGCCCAGCGAATGCGGGCCGAACCGGTGATCTTGTTCTCGATGGGCCACCAGCCTTGCCAGAGGTACACCTCATGGTGATTGTCAACAAGGAAAAGAGCTGTGAGGGCGAGGACAGATGAGACAATCAGGGGCTCCTCCGTGGATGCTACCAGCTCACTCTTCCCGAAACCTAAAGGAGGCCTTCCCTCCCTGTTGCTTTTGTTGGGGGCGGGGGCAGAATCCCCTTGGCAGGGGCCAGGGGATGGTGTCCGTGATGCCTCAGCCCTTTGAACATTCAATCAGAAAAAGCCTCTGGGCAGAGAGAGGTGGTATCTGTGATGCCCGCCTCTTCCCTTCCCCCTCCCCACACCCTGTCTCCCCCAGCCCCTCCTCGGCGGCGCAGGCCTGCTGGTGGCCCTTCTGGGAACTGCAGCGAGCTGAGTGGAGGGATAGTGCACGTGCCACTCAAGGGCTTGTGAGCACTGTGTATCTCCCAAGAGCAGATTAAACACTGGAGAGTGCATCTCCCTTGCCCTACAGGTCACTGATGTTCATGCCCCATGTGTGACTGCTTCGTAGGCGACTAAGTTCAGGGTTCTTTGCGAGAAAAACAAGCTTTAAGAAGTAGATGTGTTCTACCGCTTCCTCCCCTCTTCTTCTCATCCAACGGTTACCCTGACTCTTACTCCATGTGGCTAAGGGGCTCTCACACTTACTAGGTCCTCCTGCCCTGAGTCCTTTCCTAACACGCATTTCAGGATGCTGTGCACACCACACGTGAAAAGCCCAAAGGAGATTGATAACCTATCTTGGGCCATAGCAGGAAGGGGGGTGGCGGGCAGCAGCCACTCTTGAGAAAGTTGCTAATACTTCCCACAGTGGCAAGGGCACCCGATGAGCTTTTTAGGTGGGGACCTGGGCGGCCAGGGTCCTGCGAGATTCCTGGCTATGGGGAGAAGGCACAAGGGCTCAGACTGGACTGCCGGAAGGCAGGAGGGTCCATGCAGCCCAGTCTCTGGTGATTGACTGTCCCAACCAGAACAAGAACACAGAGGTTCTGTCTTGAGGTAGAGGTCGAGTGGAAATAGCCCTGACCCTGGGATCAGAAGACATGGGTGGGAGCCTCAGCCCTGCCCTCCGGCCTTGGCTCGGCAGACGCCATTCTTTGGCTGACTCGGCAGATGCTCCCACCCCCTTGCTCCCTGGCCACTTGCTTTCCCAGGCTCCCTTGTAGCAGAGGGTGGTCATGTGACAGAGCTCTGGCCAATGGGATGTAATCAGAAGTTAGCAGGGGCTTCTGGGAAAGCTTTTGCTTTATCTGATAAAAGGGAGAGATGTGGCCATCCCTGTCCCTTTCCCTACCTCTTCTTCCTGTCTTGAAGGAAAACATGATGGCTGGAGCAGGGGCAGCCAACTGTGGACCATGAAGCAACAAGACTGAGGAGAGGCTGGGAGAACAGCAGAGATTCCAGGCCTGACACAGTTGTGCTCAACCTATTCTTAACTGACATATTTGGGTGAGTTAAGTAACTGGGTCTCGGTTTCTTAGACTGTAACATCTGGTTGATGTCCCCTTCCTTTTGGAGTAGGTGTGCGGATGAAATTAGGTAACATAAGAAAGTTACTTGCCAGTGTACTTGGCAAATAAAAACTGTTTACTAAATATGAACGTCAAATAAAAAGGCTCTTTGGAAGGTGTATCTTCTGCGGCTCAGCCCGACACCCCCTTCCGCCAGCCGTACCTGGCTGTGGTGCACTATAAAGATCTTCCTGCAGGAAGGGCATGGAATTGACCACAGAGGGGTCTCGGGCAGGGTACATGAATTCCGTGGCTGAGAAGTCACCGGAGGAACTGCTGAGGATGAACAGGCGGGGTGTGAAGTTAAAATTTCCAGGATCTTTGAAAGAAAAGAGAACAAAGCTGAAGACAAAATAGGCACCAAAGTACACCCCAGATAGATTAGGGAATTAAGGTAAAACACAAAATAATCCAAAAATGAGTGTGAAGAGAGGTAAGATTTATCTGAACTTGGAGGTGGGGAAGGCCTTTTTAATCATAAGTATAAAATAAGTAATGAAGGGAGAATGGATTTATGTGTTGACAGTATAAAAATGAAAAATTTCATTGCAAAAAAACCCCAAAGTGAAAAGGCAAGTGACACAATGAGAAATATGGAAACTTGTTAATATCTTTAGTATATAAAGAAATATAATAAAGATAAATATCTCAATGAAAATGCATAAAAGGCAAAAATAAAACATTCACCAAAGTAGAAATAGAAATGACTAAAAAAAAAAAAATACATACAGTGTTTAACAGAACTTCTTCCAATTTAAAACATTAAGTTAGAAGAGTGCTTAGATATCAGTTTTTGGCCAAGAGGAAAAGGTAACCTACCAAGTCTCTGTTGAAAATGTACACTCTCGTATGTATACTGCTGGTGAGAATGAAACTTGGTGCCAATGTCCTGGGGCACCCTTGTTGATATGTCCTCTAAATCTTTTCTACCTTTACCATAGCAGTTCTGTATCTAGGACTTTAACTAGAAATAAATGCAGATACTTATTTTAAATTTATCCACAATTCTATTGTATAATGAGGAAAAACTGGAAACGGCTCTAAACTAAAATTAAACTAAAAAAGACAGGTTAAGTAGAAAATGGCATATAGCATCTTCATGGAATACCCTGCAGCCACAAAAGTCTAAATATGAACAACTTGAGAAATTGTTCATAATAAAGGGAAAAATCAGGTTACAAAACTGTATACTGCAATCCAAAATTTTCTTAAATATAGATATGTATGGATCACGTAGAGAAAGGTTTGAGAGAGATGATTATAGGGGACTCAGTTTCTTTTTCAACCGTTCTCTGCTTTCAAACATTTTCCATCATCAACATGCATTATTAAGAGAAACCATATAGGGGCGCCTGGGTGGCTCAGCCATATAAGTATCCGACTCTTGATTTCAGCTCAGGTCATGATCTCAGGATCATGAGATGGAGCCCCTGCTTAAGATTCTCTCTCCCTCTGCTCCTCCCCCCTCCCAACCCCTGTTGTGTGTGTGCATGCAAAGGCTCTCTCAAAAAAATAAAGAAAAATAAAAGTTCATGAAAATTGAGAGGTGGTATAATGGAGTGGTGGTTCTGAGTACATCTCACTGTGGTTCAACCCTGGGCAGGTTGATGAACTGCCCCGTGCCTCAGTTTCCTCATCGGTAGGAACATGGTGGCATTAGGTTGTGAGTGCTGGGTATATCAGGTGCTTAGGTGGTGCCTGGCTCATCCTACACTGCTTAATACTTGTTAGCTCTTCTTATGTTCATCTGTATTGAAGTTGATCTGTATTTTGTGTATTTAAATACAAAACTGACTTATTCTCTAATCTGAACTCCATTGTGTCCCTGCACCCAGGAAGCTGGCCAAAACGAAAGCATCCTGTTCCCATAGGATCACAATGTGTCACTGCTCATCTGGTTTCCTGGAATTTTTGTCTTCCCTCTCTTCAAGTCACGCTTCACCTTCAAGGCTCTGTTTAAATGCCCTGTCTTCTGTGGGGCCATGCATGATTTTCCTGGTGGAACTAATCTTTTTTTCTTTTTAACTCAAAGCCTCCCTCATTTGTACCTCTTTTAGGACACACTAAAGTTTTATTTGGCATTATACCTGTCTTGCATATTATTTAGCATCCTTATTGGGTTGTAGGCCTGTGAGGACCTCTGTCTGATCCATTGGGTGTTGTACATAGTACAGGCTCAATAAATATGTATCGACTAAATTAGTGATGGAAGGCTACGGAATGTTCTATTACCTTGAAGCATGCAGTCGTAGGCTTTCCTATCTCTCCTTCCTAAAGCGTCCCAGAAGCCCAGGGGCTCGGATCCTTCGTCACACTCGTGTATTGTCACTTTGCTGCTACTATGCAGTCCTGCTTCCAGGGGGCATCTGCATGGAGAAAATCCAGTAGGGTTTTTTTTTTTTTTTTTTTTTTTTTTTTATAAGCCTTGGACATGTTGGCAGTACAAAATTATTCAAGACTAAATCTACAGACCGGTTCACCATCTCTCTTCTATTCTTTAACTAAAACAGTTCTCACCAATGAATGAAAACGTGCTCTGTGGTTTATGAGTGTGTGTGTGTGGGGGGGGTGCAATGAGAGGGACTGGCCTGGCCCTTAGAGAAGAATGTACGATTACATATAAAATGTAATGAAAGTGATATACATTTATATATATATATAACATACATACTTACTATTCCTTGTCCTCTCCTGCTAGAACCTAAGCTTCATGGGGATGGAGACTTGGGTTTTTCACTAGCCAAGTCCCTGGTCCCTAAATCTGGGCTTGGCACCAAGTACATGCTCAATCATACCTGCTGAGTGAATGAGTGAATGTGTTGTTTTTTCTCAGTGGTCCAAGGGGAAAAGCTGATGGACCAGGGATGCCTTTGACTAGCTCAGTGAAGGTCAGTTATCACTCCTCCCCGCTCCCTAGCGCACAGAACAGGGTCCGGAGAGGAGATGCTTGGCTTCCCAGCTGGCTGCCCATGGCAAGGGCCCTGGCCTGCGGGCTCTCCTTAGCGCGGGCTCCGCAAACGGTCCCAAGGGAACTCTGTCCCCACCACACTGCCCTGGGGCCCAGAGGATGGACTGGACCAAATGATACTTTGGTGGCATATTGTGGCCCTGGTAACTTTTCACTTTCACTGTTCGGATGTTACCACCGTCCTCCCGGGGTCTCAGCCTGAGGACGTGCTAGGCATCCCCCAAACGCCGGGGCGACGCTGGGCTCTGGCTGGCTGTCTACGGGGCCCGCTGGGCATGGGCCGCAGCCCCCTCTAGATGGTGACTGCGCAGGACAGCCCGCTCCCTTGCAGGCCTTCTCTTCCTGCTTCAGTTTTCCCTCTCCCCCTGTGGCCCTTGAGTACTGCCCCGGCACTGGGTGCTTCCTTGGGGAGCTGCCCGAGCGTGGGGGCCTGCCTGGGACAGAAACCAACCCCAGCCCCTGCTGTGCTGCGCCCCAGAACTGGCCCAGGCAGGCCGACCACTCCCTGGCAGGCGGCTGCCTTGGAGAATGCAGAAACACGGTCGTCCTCTGAAAAGGGGGCATCTCCTAGCCGGGCATGGTTGGTTGGTGGTCTCCCCAGCTCTTCTTCAGCTCAATGCTTTCTAACTTTCCACGGCTCTGGCAGAACTAAAACTCTGAACCCCTGAAAGATATTTGAAATTTGCTCTCTTTAAATGACTAAGGACTCCAGGCTTTTCGTTCAAAAAGACGAACTGTACCTACAAAGAAACTAAAGCACTTGTTGGGGTCATTTCCCTTGCTCCTCACTCCGCCTTTTATGGAGGCAGGTAAATCCTCAGAAAGTGGGGGAAGCCCTCACATCAGCAGTTTTACGGGAGATGTGTGTCACACCCGCTTGGAACGTGAGAGGCGGCTGACGAGGTTTATAACTACCCCCTGAAGTCACTTTAAGTACACCAGGGTTTCTATGGGCTTCTACTGGGTATCCTTCCCGCCTTAGCCTGCATCCCACAGGGAAGCCCCTTCTGGAGAGGCGCCCACGCACAACACTCACTGTTCTTTGATTTTATTTGCTGCAGTCCTTCCAACCTCCTTCGTGTGGGCTTGGGCTTTGCATCCGTGCCACAAGTAAATGAGGGCTTTATTTACGTTGAGGACAACCATGGAAGTCCTGGACCTCAGGCTACTACAGTGACAGGCTACTTCCAGCAAATTTCCTTCCACGGGCACTTCTCCTCGCACACAGTACAGCCTCCACTCGCCTGCAGGGGGCACCAGTGGCACAGAGTTAGGCCCGGTGCTGCCCCCAGAGCTGCCCTCCGTCTGCAGTCACCAGCCAGCACCACAGCCCAGCCCGGCCCAGCCTGGGGCGGGCAGCAGCTAGCTTACTGTCAGCCCAGAAAGCACATCCTTTTGAAGTTAGAAGCAGGTTCATGATGTAGAAAGACCATTTTTACAAATTTATAAATACCCAGGTAAATCCTATAACAGGCATATTTTAAAGAGGCTCCAAAGCTAAGCACTTTTTTTTTTCTTTTGGATGCCGGCCACCAAAAGTCTCATCATTTATAATGGACGACCCACTGCATTGTTTCTCTCTTAAGAAGAGACTGAGTCACCGAGGGGATTCAGTTTAAGGTGGAGTCATCTGTCAGCCTCCTGCATGCAAAGTCCTTTCCTGAAGTAAACTCCACAGCACTGGGGGTGGGCGGGGGGCGCTATGAGCTCCCCATACAGCTGATTTGTAAGGCAAACGTTAGGAGGCTTTCCGGGGTAAAGACACACCTATATAAAAGGAGATTTACTTTAACCCCTCTTGTGTATAAAAATATCTTCCAGGAGAGGGGAAAAAACCAAACTCCAATAGTGAAGTGACTTACTTTGCGCATTTTCTTCTTCCTCTTCCCGTCTCCCAGAGTGCACCACCATCCCCCCCTGGAAACACTGCAGAAAGCAGGGGGGCTCCTTTCCCTGCAGAACCTGGACCTTTCAACGTAAACACATTCAAGTAAGTAACATGTACTGGGTTTTCAGAGTTTTCAAAATAATACATGCCTATGGTAAAAAAAAATCTGGAAAATATCAAGAAGTGCACACAAAAGCCAGCGATAATACTATTATCTCAAGATAACCACCATAAAAATTCCAGGGCCTAGCTTTCCTTTCCAAGTATTTTTCAGGTATATGTCTTTCCCAGGCAAAAATAGGATTGCTCTTTTATGTTACTTTATACTGATTTTCTTCACGTGATGTATTTCGGTCACCAAAGGCTCTTGAAACATGAGTTTTGACATTTCAATGGTATTCCATGGCATAGATGTAACATGACTGACTTAAACACATTTCAACAAAGTCTGCCTCTCAGCAAGGAAAATGGCTGATCACTTAGTAATTCTAGGGGAAAGAACAGTTTCTTTTGCAACCATGCCCAGAGTCCACTCACAGCGCTGTGGGCCTACTGACCACGGCCTCCCCCTCGCCTGTGAACCGCTGTGTTCCAGCAGGTGGTAGCTGCTCATAAACTGTGTGGGTTGACTCCACTCACTCTCACTCCGGCTAGACATTTTCCTTTAACAAGGAAACTGTTGATTGAGCCTGGCAGTCCAGGCACACCAAAAGGTAGGAAGCATTTCCCACCAAGTGTTAACCAATCTCAGGGCCCGTTCTGCATAATTAAGTACCATTTTGTGGCAGTGTTTTATAGGTCTGAAGTGTTTTTACATCCGTTGGCTTGACAAAAAAAAAAAAAATAATGCAATGCTCAAACTAGAGAGGTTAAGACTCAAAATTCTAAGGGGGATTTTGAAGGCATGATTAAAACATGGCCTTTACAAAAATTAAAAAGGCAGTTGAAATGACCCACAATTAAGAATAAATTAAAATGCAGTGGTCTCTAACAATTATTTACAATTATTATATGGTCTACAGTAGCAAATATATATTTTTTAGGGAAGAGGAGCAGCTCTTAGAAGGCTGAGTGCTGATCTATTCTGGAGAAAATTCACCTGTTCTCTTCCCTGGTGCTATTGTTACCTACTCATTAGAGGTCGTGAAGATATTGCACATGGCATCATGTTCTCCCCAAAACCCCACAGTCAACTCTTAATTACTAAAGGGTGGGACCCGAGGCAAAGATAATCCGAACATCAAAAAGTACTGTTTACAAAGCTTTGGCACTGGCATTAAACAGGCCCTGCGGTTATAATGGTAGGGAAAACCAGCACACACTATCTCTTTCATGCTTGCAGGGAAAGAGAAAATAAATAAGTAAACACAAAGTATTCAAAGTGTAAACAATATGACAAATTAATTATGTAGTTTTAAGCAGTGGCAAGAATGGTAAGTGTTATAAAACAGAGTAACAGGACAGAGAACAGGAAGGGATTTGGATAAAATAGGTGACACTTGAACAGCTATCTGAATCTTCTGAGGTTGAAAGTTACTATGGATACAGAGGAACTTGTGGGAATGGGAAATTGTGCAAAGGCCCTGGGGTAGGGGGAAAGAGGTCTGAGGAATGGCAAAGAAGGCTAGAGTAGCCCCGGCCATGGTGCAAGATAGAGGGGTGGGGGGCGCGGTGGGAGCTGTGTGTAGTGCCAGCCACAGAGCCGCAGGCACACCACCAGGAAAACGCTTTGACTGCAGTCCATGTGTGATGGAGAACAAGGGAATGACATGATCTGACATGATCCAGAAAAAATCACTCAGGCTGCTGTGAGGAATGCAGATGATGGGAATCCTAATTTTTATCTTAATCTCTGATATTTCCCTAGGACAGATTTGTGTAAGTGGAAAAAGTGATCAGAGTTTATGAGGATTTTTAAGGTTCTTGACCCAAACTGCTTTTCAGGATGGCTGTTTCAAGCTATCCTTCCCAATCCTGCTAAAAAAATCCTGACCAGCCCCAGATCCATTCTTTATAAAACCTCCAGCAGTTTTAGAAGCGGAAAATAGCATGTCTTTGTTTTATTTACCATTCCTTGAGTATTAGTTAAGTGGAAACTTAAAAAAACAAAAAACAAAAAAAACCCCAAACCACTCACTGGCACTTTGTACTTGATTTGTGGATTTACTATTTGCAGATACAACATCTCCTTTAAGAGCACACGACTCCCGGCCAGGCGGTGGGGAGGTGGGAGTGGAATCTGGGGAAGCCGGCCAGGACTAAGCGTCACTTGCATGATGCGGTCTTTGTTCACTGGACTGGCTCGTCAGGGGACCCGGCCCCCACCCTGGGGGCTCCGCAGGAAGGCCAAGTCTCTCCTCCCCTGGGGCAGCCACTTCCCAGGACTTACCTGGGCACCCCTCTCCTCATCCAGCTCCACCGTCATCAGAGCCGACGTGCCCTTCTCACTCACGGTTGACTGCCGGCCTTGCCAGAAAAAGTAGACACACTTCTCCTTGCCAGCCACCCGTACTGAGTGCTCTCCCTTTTGCCGACTTCCCACTGCAAACACACAGAACCCCATGAGGGCAGGGTAGTCAGCTGAGAAGCCAAAAGAAGAGCAAATACGTGGCTTTCTTCTTTAGGTTCCGTGAGGACAAACAGTGAAGAAATAGCTTTTGGGCGTGGGGCTGAGGAGAAAAACCATCTTTCTTCCCGTTAACTGATCCCGAGCCTCCAAACTGGAGACAAAAATGATCTCGCCTTCTTGATACCCTGAGAAAAACACCTGTCATCCTACAGGAAGGCGGCAGATCTCTCCAAGTATGTGACAGAGAAAAACGGTGGCTGCTGGAGCAGGACTCCCAAAGACACAAATGCATTTTCCATATCACGCCATTTTTTGGGGCAAAAGATTAGCTGGTAGAGAAAAGATATTGAGAACAACAGCTGGGCCAGCTTTAAGCACAAAGGGAAAAATTTAGTCTGTGAAAACGATTCTAATAAAAAAAACAAAACAAAAAAAAAACCACTCTGAAGTTTCCACATTCTGTCAGAAATGGAAGAGATCTATTGCTGACATACCACTTTCATAAACAACTCTGGGATTTCAATCCTATCTGTCTCCAGGACGGCAGCCAGGACGGAGGGACTCGGTCAACCTTAGCAGCCCCCAGGACACAGATCTCAATGAAGAGCAGGTGCGGAAAGTTCACTGGTCAAGGGGTCATCTGAAAAAGGCCGTATTTCAGACCTCGCCTTGCTACTTTTAGGGTATATACGGCACTCCAGACTGCTCTTTCATTCATTCATTCAGCAGATAGTTCTCAGGAGGCCAGGGCCATATTTATTTATTTAATTTTTTTGGCCCTTTAGCAAAGCACTCTATAAACAGTTTTCATAAATGATTATAATACTTCTTACGGCACTTTGCCTAAGCACAACCTTCAGTGCCATCTTTTGTGGACCTGAACTGGTCAAGTTCGTGTATTTTTAAGTGGACGAGAAGAAAGAGAAACAAACCATCAATGAATAGATCAGGCATATTCACAATTAGTTTGGAAGCCACTCCTTTGAAATTTCTGCTACTTTAGATAGGAACAAAACTTTGCCTTTGATTAGCAAATCCCACTCTTCAAAGTAGTGAAAACTAGTCCTGTCAGCAGGGGAAAAATATGCTTAAAACAGGTCACAGAAGTTGATACATATCTTGAAATTTGTTAGCACTTAAATACATTGTGTAAGTATATATTCAGGTTTCAATAATAACCAGTGTTTTACCACCTACCATCCTAATGTGGACTTCCCTATCTATATCTAAAAGGGCGCCTGGGTGGCTCAGTCGTTAAGCGTCTACCTTCGGCTCAGGTCATGATCCCAGGGTCCTGGGATCGAGTCCCACATCAGGCTCCCTGCTCAGCGGGAAGTCTGCTTCTCCCTCTCCCACTCCCCCTGCTTGTATTCCCTCTCTCGCTGACTCTCTGTCAAATAAATAAAATCTTAAAAAAATAATAAAATAGAAATATTTTCTTAAAATATTTCATAATAGTTTTCAGTATTTTTCCTTGGAATTTTCATCAGTATACCCAAATTTAATCCTACACACAACTTAATTCTTATTTCATTTATTTTTAATTTTAGCAAAGATTCAGCTTTCATCAGTAAGACATTATGGACTGTAACCTTTATAGACTTGATCAGATGGCTAATTTAAAGTGTTGATGTCTCGTGCCTCAAAATACTTTCTGGAGTCAGTTTGTGAGCAGTAGCTGTGTTTAGGAGTAACAGAAGACACGAAGAACGTAAAGGACTGCTCCGGGTCAGGTGGTCTTGCAGCAGAATCTCATTTACTGCTCACCAACTCCCGGCAGCTCGACCTGTATCATGCTCCGGAGCTGCCTGGCTCCATTACTGGGGCAGGACCCAAACTGCCAAGGCCTTCCCTGGAGTGCACGGTTCACTCCCCAAGGAGTTTCTCTGTGTGCCTGTGCAGGCTGCCTGGTGTCTGCCAGGAGGAAGACTGTCCTGTCTCTACAGCCAATGGTTTCTGCTGACCCTGTCCCGGAAGAGCTTCCCGAGCTCCGAGTTCAGTCTTGTTTGCAAGTGCGGCCCTTGAGGGGTACGAGTGATGAAGGGCTGGACCACAGTGGCCAAGGGGCCACAGTTGATGACATTCGGCTATGCTTCTCTGCTCCCAGAGGGACTGTCGGGAAATCAGAATGCTCCCTGCTGTAACTTAATGCTCTGCAGCTGGACTTCTTCAGAGTTGTAACTTAGCTCATAAAGAAGCTGCTGGAGCCGGCTGTGAGATGTGCATTGTGTTTACTAGAAAGAAATATGGAAAGTATTTGCCTCAAATCATTATTTCTTAGGGGCCTCCAAGAGAATGGTCTCTGAAGGCCTCAGAAATCTTGGATTCATGTGATTCACAGTGATTTTGCTTGTGTTGCTTAGGAGATCAGGCACGATTATTTCTGTCAGGCACATGCTAAACATTATACATACTAGATTCTAATAATCTGTAAACATGAGAGGCTATGGACTCTGAGAAACGTAAGGTTCTAGAGGGGAGGGGAGTGGGGGATGGGGTAGCCTGGTGATGGGTATTAAGGAGGGCACGTTCTGCGTGGAGCACTGGGTGTTATACGAAAACAATGAATCATGGAACACTACATCAAAAACTAATGATGTAATGTATGGTGACTAACATAACGTAATAAAATAAAATTTAAAAAAAAAGATTATAATAATCCGTGAGCTGGGTATCATGTCTGTTTTCTAGGTGAGAACACTGAAGCTCAGACAGGCTGTCACTTTACCCACCTTGCAGAGCTGGTATGTAGGGCCTGAGAGAAGATGCTGGCTGTATGGCCCCAGAGCCTGTGGCCTTTCCTCCAAGCCCTAGGGCCCCCTTACGAATGGGAAAGGGGCTTTCAGTGTCCTAATCTGCTCTCTACTGGCCGTGTGACTTTGGGCGGGGGCCTTACTGAGAAATCAGCAGAACCACACGGTACATCCCAGGGCGCCTCGGGCAGGCACTCAAGGACAATGTGCAGCAAAGCCCCCAGTGCTGTGCCTTGTGGGCCGGGGGCACCCCCCACAGCTCTGGGCGCAGCCTCCAATCCACTGGCCGCCAGCAGAGCCCGCCTCGGGGAACCTAGCTCTCCTCTCATGGCATGATGTCGCTGCTTCACCCACACCTGCCTTATTGGCATTTATGCTATATGATTCCTGAAGGCAGGACCTGATGGATTTACTTACTCCCTAAAATAAGTGTCTTATACCCAGAAGACAGATTAGGTGCTCAGTAAATGCTGCCAGGTGATTAACAGACTTACTTTTGATCAATTAAGAAAGAAATCAACTGGTTTTGAGTCTGCGGGTGTGTGATCAGCAGACCACGGGCTCCACTGCCCGGGGCCCCAGGGCAGCCACAGCTGGGCAGCAAAGAGCCTGTCTGAGAGGTGAATAAACTCCCGGGAGCTGAGCTAAATGGCAGGGCTGAGGGACGCTGTCGAGAACCGGCTACTTCTGGGCAGGGGAAATGGGTTCTCCCTCCAAAGTCCACTGGCTCTCCTCCCTCACTACCTCTCGTGCAAAGCACACCACTGAGTGTTTTGCTTGAGTATTTCACCGACAGGAGCCATGAGCAGTTTGACTATGTATTTATTCTACCTGATCCACAGAGCGTGTTAGTGCTCCCAGCCTCAGAGGAAACAGCTTCTTTTATTTTTCATAAATCTTTCGTGCGTTACCACACCATTTGGTTGCAGTTCTGTCATCCAGATAGGCTTCACTTAAGACTTTAAGCAGTAGACAGCCCCATGGCAAATATCATTTAGAGGCAAATCATCACTTTCCCAGAGAACCTCTGGGAACGGGGCAGGGGAGGGAACGGGGCGAGGGTGGGGAGAGAAACCTTAACTTCTCTAAGGAAACATGACATTGGTTAGCAATGCTAGCTCGTCGGGATCCATCTTTAAAGTTGACTAAGTGGTTCTAAAAGCGAAGGACCAGATTGGCCCGCTGTCCCCGCGGCTGAGGGTAAGGCAGCGCCCATGGGGAAGGGGCTCTAAGAAGTGCTCCCTCCCCGACCCGTGTCGGCGTGAAGAAAGAAAATGGAAGTGCTCACTGACCTGCGGTGCTCACCATGTACTTCCACTTGACCACATAGGCGTCTCCCTCGTGGAACTGCCCAATGCTCTGTTTGGGGAGCCTGCTGTAGTCAAATTCGAGGATGTGCCAGACATCCACAGAGACACTGGCAACCTCAAACTGCCTCCTGTCGTCCCCTTCCACCAGGCCATAGCCGCGACCCACGTTCACCCCGTCCAGCACCGTGCCTGTTGTCACCTGGGGCACCGCCACCATCCGCGCCACATCGTATGGCTTGGCTTCGGCCCTAGGATCATCCTACGAGGGAACGTAAGAGTGTTGGTTCAGTGGCCTGTTCCTACAGCCATTTCTTGTCATACTCACTGCTGTTTCAGAAAGTCAGGCTTTCCAGCTCTGTCCCGGCATTTCACCGCATTTTGGGGAAAGACTACAGAGGCCTGAATAGCTCCCCCCCGTGACAGCGAATGGGTTGCCTGTAAACCCAGAGGCACAGGCAGGCCTACTTTACCTCGGGGAGGTAGAATATAACTGGAAACCCGTTTGCTGGTCTCCCAGTAAACCCCGGGAAGGCTTCTAAGCTTCAAGGCCTCTTTTGTCGGGACCTCAACCAAGGCCTGAGATTTAAGACTTGATTCCCAAAAATACCTTTTGCTGGGCAAGTTCGCTGGCGCTCTTCTCATTAGGTCTCTTCAGTTCAGTCCAATCGAGAAATTTCTCTTTGAACAAAATAGTCTCATTGTGTTCTGTAAGTCTCCCGAATATTGCCCAATCAGGTCGCCCCTGTCCTTTTCTGAAAGGGTGAGTGGGTGGGGGAGGGGACAGGAAAACAACAGAGATCAAGCCATGCGAAAACGAAGGAAAGGAATCGAAAACAGACACACGTGGCACTGAAAACAACTCAGAACACCTTAGCGGTATATAGAGAATGAGTGGTTCATGTTGTCAGATGAGTGATAGTTTAGTATTTCAGCCTGAAGCCTAAGCAAGGCTTTGTGTGGATGGAGTTGATGTGCCTGAATGGGATGTGAATCCCGTCTGGACTGGACTTTTCTTTCTTTCTAGCAAATTCTTGTATCTGGGATCCTCTGGGGGTGGTACACTAGCCTGGGAGCTAGGAGAAGGCAGGAGCCACATGTACATCGTCCTCGCCTGCTCCATGCACTCAGAGTCCCCTGCAGGTGCTCACCACGTGTCTGTCACTTTAATGGGTAGATGGGAGGGAGGCAGAGCTCACCCTGAATTCTCTATTAAGTCCTGTTACAACGAAGCTCTCCGGTGTCCAGGAACAGATGAAATTCTCCTGTTACTAAAATGAGCATACTTCCATAGATCATAAAGAGAATATCTGCATTATTTCCAGGCCACCAGACATGACAGTGGGCCGGAGGAGAGCACAAAGGCACAGAAAGGGAAGTGGCACAGCCCAACCTGGAGGTCTGGTCCTGCCTCAGGATCTCGGAACTTGAAACTGCTCAGAACACTGGTAACTCAGAAACAGGCAGAGTCGAGGAAATGGTGGCTGAAGAGGGTTTGTGCGGGTATTGCTCATCCTTCCAAATCAATCTTTGGTTGTGAATGGAGCCTGGGATGCATATACCCCATAAGACCGCTGAGCAGCGCTCCCTGGGCCCTGCTGTGTTCTGTGCTCCATCACTTCCTGTTTCATCAGGACTACGGTTCTGACGTCACAGCTAGGGCACATCAAGGAGGCTGCCTGTTCCTGGGGAGACTGCCGGGGTGAAGCATGGTATACAAACACTTCCACCTCGTACTCTCGCAGGACTCTGGGAACCAAGTACCAGCCACTCTGGGGAATTCAGGACTCCCCTGCAGGGCTGGGGTCTTTCACGGCAAATGTCTGAATGACCATTTTTTTATATAAATTTTACTCTGCAGACTTGCTAGGATGCCTACTGGAGGCGCACTTGCTTTCAGCTTTAGACAATGATCTTTTATGGTGGGAGCCAAGCAAGCATGAGAGGCAGTGGGTTGTGGGGTGAGCTGGCAAACGTCCTCCTTCAGGCCGACTTCCATGTTTGAACTGGGCTTAGTCTGGACACCTCAGTGCTTCAGCCCCTCATCTGGTAGGAAGGGCTCAGTGCTTAATCTTGGCTGCCCCTTAGGAGGAGCCCTGAGGAGGCTCTTAAGACCCCCGACACATAAGCCCCACCCCACACGAATTGAGACTACATCGCTGGGGCTGGCGCTGGGGCTGGGCCTGGTATGTGCATTTTTTTTTTTTTAAAGCTTCTCAGGTAATTCTGATCTGCGACATGGTGAGAACCGATGAATTAGGTGCTCACTCATCTACTCCCAGTAGGAAATACTAAAATTACAATCATTATTTCAATACAGTATCCTCCCTCTCACTCCCTGCCCCCCGAAAGGCATAGACATCACCTACTGCCAAATAAATGGCAAATCCTGGAATTCAAGGGCTATGCTGAGAAGGTGTGAAATGAGAAGGAAATATGTTGCTTTTGCACCTTCAGATCAATGGCGGAATTCCAGGTCCTGAGAAGCTTCTCAGATCAGCATGGAATCTGTTTCAACAATTGCTACTCATCTGCCAGGACGGCACCTGGAATGCCGCAGGCGGGAACAATTTGTTCACCTCAAGGAAGGAGACTGAACACAGCGTCCAGAAGATGGCAGCATCCATAGTCCCGCATCAGTTAGGCAAAAGCTAAAGAAATGTTCTTTCTGTGAACGTTCAGGCTACTGCCTGCAGTCAGTGATGAAAAGGCAACCCTACGAAGAGTGACAGTAGGGGAGCGTGACGGGGACTCGGGCCCGCTGAGGGAGTCTGCGCGCGCTCTTCCACACCATCGGCACGGGACAGGAATACCTGGGGATAAGCGGATTGCATTCTCCCGGATCCAACGGGTTGATGTCACAGTTCTCGTAGTCAAAGGTTCCGTTCCATAAGTGCTTTGCCAGCTGAAAAGCTATTTTCCGTTGTGCCAACGTGACTTCTTTTCCATGCCACACGTACACTTCACTACCAAAGTCAAACACCAGTACCTGGGAAGACGGCAGAGAAGAACAGGTCAACGTCAAGGTCCTGCTCCAGTTGAACGAGGGTGTGTACTGACTGAGAGGGACGGGTGTGACCGCTGGCCAGGCCCTGCCACACTAGCCTCTGCCCTGTGGCCCGCATTTCCGTCTCATCCTGAACTCGCAAATTCCGTGGTGAGTTGTCGAACTGTGTCTTCTTCCTACCTGCCTTCTTTCCTTTCTTCCTCCCTGTCTCCCTCCTTTGTTCTTTCACTCACCGAGCATATACAAAGGCCACTTCTTAAATGCCAGGCCCCGAGGACCAGGGAGGTGGTCGCCCCTCCATACAGTTCCAGCACCCTCCAGGGCAGAGACCATGCCGTACTTGCATTTAGAGGACTTTACTCTGGCTTTGCTGAGGGGATACGTGAATGTAATGCTATTTCTTATTTCCATGCCTGTGGTTTATTCGACTCTTTCCTCTTAGACTAATTTCTTCCTTCATGTCCAGCAGTCCAAATCCTACTCAACTCCCAACTAGGCTCAACTGCACCTTCTCCTTAAAATTACTCCTGATTATTTCTTTCCTATGATTTTGTTTTTCCATTTAATTGCCCATGCATGTCATACAATCCACCTTGCTTTGGATGGCATTCTTTCTAATATTCTTCTATCCGATGAAATTTAAGTTTCTTTTGTTCTTTTCTACTTTTTCGCAACACGTATAAAATACAGAATGGTAATGACAACGTATGTATTTAGTAAACATTTACCGGTGTGAGAAAAAAGCTAGTATATTACTTGGCAAATCCAAATTATATAAACATGCATCTATTATTCCTGAAACTTAAGGACTGAAAAAACTGTATTTAATGTTTATAGAAAAATCAAGAGATAGGGCTAAGGACTATTTACATTTTATTCTCTGGCATATACTTGACATATAGTACAGCATAAGTTAAGGTATAAGGCATAATAACTTGATTTTTATATATATGTTGCAAAATGATTACTACTATTTAGATGACATCCATCACCTCATACAGATATGAAAAGAAGAAAAAATACAACAAAAATACAAAAAAAAGAAAAAATTCCATTTCGCCTAAAACAGAAAAGCCTGACACATGCCTCCTCTGAGCAATATTCTGAATTCTATCCTTGTATTTAAGATGGGGTGATGGTTTGAATTCACAAGTAAATATACTTTAAAAATAGGTCGCTGTTCAAGACCAGGCAGGACCACTGACCAGCGTTTCTCGGGCACTTCAGGTCTATTTTATTGGGCCGCCCCATGCAAAGTGTTCTCTTGGCAAGGGTGGTCCCCACGCACTGTACCTCTTTTGACTGCAGAAGGGAGCACTTGGGAGTCTTCCCCCAGTACTCATCATCAGGGACAAGTTTGTCATCCACCAGACGATAAATGCAGTTTGTTTCAATTATGGCAGCTTCGTAAAGTTCGTCTTCTTTTGGGTCTCCAGCAGCTTTGGGATGAGAACAACAAGACAGTATGACATTTTACCCTGAAAGGTGGCCGGTTTAGAAGAGTGAAGTAGGGCATAAGAAAAGTCTCACGATTCTCTGAAATAACTCTTACACTGGTAGCTGTTTTGGCCACCCAGAAGCTTCCAGAAGTCTTTGGCCGCATGAGTGTGTGTATTAATTCCTTCTTCAAGAGTTTGGACATAAGTAGCTCTACAACCAAGTTCCCTCTTTGTCTGAATTAAACTTGCGAGTTCTGAGGCCTGGAGAAAGGGAGGAGGAGTACAATTAGCTAGGCAGACAAGCCTGTGGTGAGGCAGAGTGGCACATTCTGAAGTCGGAGGGGGAACATGGCGGGTCTGCAAGGGAGACCATGTGACCACAGGGGCTGCAGGCCCCGGTTCTTGGGTATTTTCAGCAAGGTCAGGAGAATGGAACTCAAGGACCAGGGGTACAATTCTTTACAGCACCAGTTCTTTATTTTCAAATTCAATAGATCACTTGTGAAATTTTGGAGAAATACCCATTCTCTGGGCTTCTGCCCATGAGATTCTCATTCAATAAGCCTGTAGCAGCATTTCATGGGTACCTGGGATAAATGGCTTTGATGTGATGTGCCAGTTCCTTTTTCACACAGGGGTGAGAATAGGACTTAAAAACTGGCGAGATAGGTCATCATCCTTCTAAAACATCCCACGCATGCACGCACCTAATGAATGCTTGTTTGAGAGACATTCAGCAAAAGAAATACTGCCTCTCCCTCCTCACTTGAATCAAACATTTGGTGTCTGAGAAGCCTTGTAAAGATCTAGCAACTGGTAGAAACATTCTATTGCTGTGTAAAGGAGATGCTTAACTGAACAATTTTTATTTTTCAGATACCAACCTTTGCCTTTTCTATGACATTTGCAAACTCTCCTACCCACACGAAGCAGTAATGGGGAGAGAGCAGGAGGAAGCAGTCCCCACTGTTGAGCGACGAAGCTCGAGGTTCAACCAGTCTGGTCTGCACGTGTCTTCTTCCTGTAAGGCAGGAGGCAAATCGTCACCATCTTCCCAGAGAGGAGAACTCTCCAAAGCCACAGGAAGGACCAGGAAGCACCCCTGGTACAGACTCCTGCAATTCTAAAGATTCTTGTCTACCAATACTGGCTCCATGATGTAGAGTGGTAGAAGGGGGTTTCCGGTGACAGCCTTCTAGATTACTCTCCTTTGTAGTGCTTTCCTAAATGTCACCATGTGTCTTAGGACAACCACTGGAGTCCTTTTACAGCACGTGTGTGGATTAATTAGGTTCCCTCCTCCAGGAAAGTTAGCAGACATGCTCCTTTCCCCCTTTCAACTCCTCTCCTGGTCCCTTTCTCTGAGCTCAGCCCACCTCCTGCATTTCATAGCCCCTGCTAGCCACACCGCAGGTGAGGGCATGCCTTCCCACAGCGTCTTCTTCCTGGGGGTTTGCACGCTAAATCCAGGGCAGTCTTGGAGTCAGCTTGGAGGGAAGCACTGCTTTGTGCTGCTTTCCACACCTTCTCCTAAATGACTGTTGATTTAGGCCTTTCCACAGTCACACTGATAGTGTCATCTCGGGGTCAAAACTCGGGAATAGACATTGGGTACCTATGCTCGTCACTAGTCTGAATGCACTAAAAAGGCCAGTGGTCATGCAGAAACACACGGGACACCCTCTGTGAAGGATATTCCATGCAGCCTCCTCCTGCTGAGTACTCTAGAGGCAGCTAAGTCTCTCCTCATAGCCCACGGCCTCTCTGGTCGTCTCCCTTGCTATTGACAGAGGGGGTGCTAGAGCGGAAATCTAGGTCGGCTTCACTTGCCTCTGCTTTCCCTGGATTCCTTCTCCAAGAACTTGCATCCCTGCCTCTGGCCCCCACTAACCTTGCCCACCTCAGCGAGGAGTGAGTGGAGAAGCCCCCATGAAGACTTCGGGGGCATCTGGAACTGCATGACAGCATGGTGGCGGGGCAAGGGGAGGCGGCAGCAGAAGCTGAGCTTCTGGAATGGCAAACACCTGGGTGCAAATCCAGCTCTGCCACTCAACAGCCGCTGTGACCTCAGGCACGTCACTGAGCTCTCCAAGCCTCACTGGGCATCACGTCTCCCACCTCATGGGATTTGTGAAGCTTACGTGACAGGAGGTAGCACAGCACCCAGCCCACGGTAGGTTCTCTCCCCCTTAGAGTCAGGCCTCCTGGTGTTACCGGACTCAAACCCCTGATCCACATGTGATTCCTCTCCGTGGCTCCTAAGTACCTTTAATCTGTAACAGCATCAGCTTCTTGTAGGGCAGCGCGCTATTGTTGGAATTCTGTTCAGTCAGGTTGACGCTCCGCAGGCTGATGTTGCTGAAATTTTCTTTACTGGCTAAGCCGGCCAGAGTGACTTCTGAGAAGTTGGAGTTGGAGGACACTGGGAGGGTTGAATAAGGAAACAATGGCGGGGGGTGGGGCAAGATGGGCAGGTGAAATGACAACGTTTACAATCAGAGATTCATAATCAACTAGCTGTTTCTTAGAAAGTCAATCCTGAAGGGGAGAACATGCTCAGGTTTGGTTGACAATGCAGTTCAATGCTGAGCCACTGTACTCAGGATTTAACTCTGTACTGAAAGTATCAGCTGCTTGTGGACATGTCACACCTCACCTTGCAGGGGGCAAGAATCGAGGGACAGTGTGGACCAGCTATTTTGGTATAAAATCAGGAGCTGGACACACGTGTTGCAATTCCACTGAAAGCTGATATAATTCCTAACAATGTTGAGATGTTAATGCAAATGCACTCACAAGGAAGACTATGAGAGGTCTTTCAATAAAAGTCTTTATATGTAGAAAAGCAGGCATGCTTGTAGGGATGTGGTTAGTCCTAATCTTTTTCCTGGAGGCAAAGTAATCAACTAGATAATCTTGAGGTCTTCCGCTCTCAGAGTTAAGACTGTTGTAACAAGCTGCTGGGTTTTCCATGTACACCAACAAATGTGTACATGTCAATCATCACAAAGCCATCCCCAGGCCTCCAAAAGGGGAGGCAGAGGAAAAATACCTAAAATTTGTGCCAATAAGCCTTTATTTCTTCAACTGATTATTTTTAAAAAATGTCTGTGTTAGAGAGAAATTCAGAAAATTATTTTGCTGGGATTAGGGTCTTACACTACTTGACAATTCATATGGCACAGAAGTTTTGAAATATATTTTCTTAGTCAATCAGTTATAATGAAAAGACTCAACTAGTTCATGTAAATATTATATTTCTAAGAAAAACTTTCGGAAGTAGGTTTATGAGTGCTAAAGGAAAATACAAATTATAGCAAGACTATTCAAGCTAGCAAATGGTATATGCCCTAATTACCTCCATCAAGAAAACCACTGTTTCAGAACAAGGGAACCCCACCTTCTCAGGTTGAGGAGAACAGAGCAGCTTAGCCTGAAATGGGACACAGAGCACAGAGCCGTCTCCTCACTCCCATTCACCACCTCTACCCCAAGGCCCCAAAGCTACCCAATCCACACCCCCAATTCCGGGGCTCCCGAGGCTCCTGTTAAATGCAATCTGGAAAGCATTGGTTTATGCATTAACTAATAATATGAAAATCTAGGGTTAGGAAAAGCAGTAATTTGGGACATTTTCTCATGAGAGATCACATGATTTGCTCTCCAACAAGATTAAGTGGGGAATTACTGTGTTTGGGCTCTACAGAGCTGAAAATGGGTTGAGCTACAAAGCCCAGAAGCATCCTTCTCCTCCAATCTCTTGAAAGAAAACTCAGCAAAACAAGATAATTTAAATTCAGAAGGTGAACAGACGCTCCACGCTCTAAGAATTTCTGTGAAGAGCCTTTCCATTCCAGGCGGGTGTGCACGTGTGTGTGCAAACTTACTCATTTTTATTTGATGAGTGTCTTTTGAACACATGATTAGCCTTAGCAAGGCAGAAAAGATGATTAAAATCACCTAATCACCAGACCCCAACACAGAGGCGGGGTGGTGGTTTCATACACTCACTCTTTTCCACTTTCATCCGCTTTGACTCCATGAAGGCAACGTTTAATCTCTGCTCCGTGTATTCTTGGAGGAGATCTTCTCTGGCTGCCAGCATTTTCAAGGGGTTTTTGGAAGCCTGAACCCGACGCTTGGGCCTCACTGCGCGCTTGTGCTCAGCCACAGAGGAGGTCAACCTGGGGAGCAAAGTGGAGTTGTAGCCTTGGTCTGCATAGCCTTCACGCCTGGCTTATTTGGGGGTCTCTGACCTGAAATAACAGTCTCTACAATTTTTGTCTTACAATTCCTCCTCCTGCCTGCTACTCCCTGACATGGAGACATAGAATCTTGGGGATGGGGGATTCAGGCCCGTTTAGTCTAAGATCTCAGAGGCTCCCCACCCCCCACACCGCACCCTGTGGTTTCTGCTTGGAGGGGCATCTGGTGCTACATGGGACAGCTCATTCTACTACTGGATAGCTCTGCAGGGTAGGAAGTTCTTCCTCACCCTTATCATACCCATGAGCTCCTCCTACTTCTCCTGTTGGAGTATTACACAAGTCTACTTCTTCTGTCCCTGGGGAGCCCTTCGAGAATTTGCAGCCAGTCACTGCTTCTCAATTTCTCTTTCCTCCAGACTAAATGTTCTTTTTACACACTGGTTTTCAGTTTCCTTAGGAACTCCCCCACAACTAGCTTCCTCTCAACCCTTTGCACCTTTCTGAAAAGTAACCACCGCTTTGAAGAATATATTGAAATAAAATAGGTCCAAGAAGCCAACTGTAACTTCATACACTGACACAACTCTCTGGGGGCAGACCAGACATGGGGAGGTAGGTGATCCAGTCACATGGTTTCCTGACAGATTCACTCCTGCTCACAATTTCCAACTGCATGGCCTCTGTGCTATTATATATAATATGGTCCTCTGTGTGAGAGTGTGTATATAAACATAAATATAGCTCTATAGATGTAACGATTTAAGCAATGACATTTGGGTTGGGAGAAGATGAGAAATGGTTAAATGCCTGTGTATGTAAATACACACAAAATTTCATTTAAAGGTGGGAAATGGCAAACTGTTCATTTTTTAAGATAGAAAATTGAGAGGGCGCCTGGGTGGCTCAGTTGGTTAAGCGACTGCCTTCGGCTCAGGTCATGATCCTGGAGTCCCGGGATCGAGTCCCACATCGGGCTCCCTGCTCGGCAGGGAGTCTGCTTCTCCCTCTGACCCTCTTCCCTCTCGTGCTATTTCTCATTCTCTCTCTCTCAAAAAATAAAAAAATAAAATCTTTAAAAAAAAAAAAAAAAGAAAATTGAGAAAAACTGAAAAAAACCCCAGAAATATAAAAAAATGTATTTGGAGCAGCTTCCAGGAAAATGTATGACGACCCCGCAGTCTTCTGGAAGAGACAAATGTGGTCCGTGGCTGTGGGCGTAGCCTGCCCAGCATATATTCTCCCTGGCTTCTGGTAAGAAAACCTCAACACTGGCTCTGGGGCATCCAGAGACCAGCTCTGGCCAATCAGCACCTTCTATCCCCTTGGCTATAGTGATTGCTTTAGGGCTGGGCTTGGGCCCTAGAAAATCAAGCCTGGAAATTGGGCTGGAAGGAACTGGGAGAAGAGAAGCTGCCTGTGCTGGAGTGGCCGAGTAGGTAGCCGAAACATCCACAGCTGGGGTGGCCATTGTCTGCCACATGGTTACAGCTTGGCTGCAGCAAAGCAGCCCAAAGGAAAACCGGCAAGAGAAGAGACCTCATTCTGAGGAGCCCCTGGAACCTAGTTCACACCTGCACTTTTCAGTGAGTGAACCTATAAATCGCTCCACACCTCTCTTTTGCCAAAGTCTGTTTGACTTGGATTTCTTTCTGGCACCTGCACCTGACGGAATCCTAAAACCATAATTGCTTTCCTGAGGTGGTTTAGTCAGACCCTGGGTGAAGAGCGACCCTTGGTCATCACTGAGAAGGCTCTCAGATCTATTCATTTCATGAATTATTGTAAGTTAAGTAACACGCTTTATTGATTTTCTAGTTCATTGTAGGAGTTTGAGCCCATGTGATCCAAATATTTTTCAAAGTTACGAGTAAGAGTTTAATATGTCAAATGAAAGACAGTATAGAGACCTCTTGCTAAATTTATGTTCATCTAAAAATCTGCAAAACAATATGCAGTTATGTGAACAATCCAGTGACATTACTTTTATGGGCCAGGGCAAACATCTGTGGCACACACTGTGTTCACCGACCTTCTGCCTGAGCGCACATCTGTTCTGGAGCACGCGTGTTTTATCTACCTCACGTGTCTGGCTCTAGAGAATAATCATGTGTCTGTAAGGAAGGTCTACGGCAGAAGGCGGTGACAGCGAGACGATCCTCGTAGAGATACCATGTGAAGGCTGACGAAGGAACCAGCCATTCTCAGTGGGTGAAAGATGGAAACTGAAATAACTCACTTAGGGGCATAAGGATCGAAAATGACATCGAAATCCTCGTCCAGCTCCACAGGGCTTCGAGGCATACTGTCATCCATGCTGCGGTAAAATCTGGCAAAGGTCTCGTCATCGTCCAGCTTCATCACCTCTTTCACAGATTTACCAGTGACCGTGAGTACGGTCTCCTGCATCCCACCAACTACCAACAGATGAAGAGAATACATGACATCGGATTTGTGTCCAAACATGACCCCGACTACACAATATCTTCAAATTTATTTCCCCCTACATTCCAGAAGTGGAGAGAACATGATAGTGAGGCCCAGGGTCCTGTGGACACTTCCTGGGCCTTCCCTGACTTCTCCCGGAAGGACTGCCCATCTGCAAAAAGCTTGCACCACGCAGGTGGTAGGAGAGAAGGAGGCAATGAAAGCCCACCGAGCATTTCTGAACTACTGGAGGTGGAAATGGCCTCAGCCTCATTCTAGATCAGAAATCGGTAAAAACTTTTTCTGGAAAGGGTCACATAGTAAACACTGTAGGCTGTGCATGGGAGGCTATCTGGCCCGTGTGGCAAGCACTCACCCCCACCACTGTGCAGAAGTGACTCTTCACAACACATTAACAAGTGAGCATGACCTCGTTCCAAACAAATTTCATTTACAAAAACAGGTGGAGAGCTGGATTAGTTTCCTGACCCGCTGAGCTAGATCACCGTTCCATACATGCAATAAGCTTCGAGTTGTTTGAATTCCTTGCCTTGCCAGTTTCGTTATTACGTTACACTTTCATGTTTCTGGTATAAAGCGGTTGTCTACATTATCACCAACCTATTAGGAGGTCACTGTCAACAGCAGCGACTCCCAGTGTTAGTATTCAATCAGTTTCAAGTACTGGACATTTTTTTTTAAAGATTTATTTGTTTATTTTGAGAAAGAAAGAGAGAAAGAGAGAGCATGCGGGCAAGTGGGGGGGAAGGGCAGAGAGAGAGGGAGAGAATCCTCAAGCAGACTCTGCGCTGAGCACGAAGCCTGATGTTGGGGCTCAGTCTCATGACCATGAGATCATGACCTGAGCCAAAATCAAGAGTCTGAGCCACCCAGGCACCCCTCAAGTACTGGACATTTTTCTTAAGAGATGATGCTAGTTCTGCATATTATTCCTTTACTTTGTATGTTTCATGGACTTTTGTACTGAAATATTTATTTCAACATTTATTTAGAAATCACTTGCAATATGTCATCTGCTACCTTATTAGAAACTGACAGATAGGGGTGCCTGGGTGGCTCAGGTCATGATCTCAGGGTCCTGGGATTGAGCCCTACATCGGGCTCCCTGATCAGTGGGGACCCTGCTTCTCCCTCTCCCTCTGCCCCCTGGCTCATGCTCTCTCTTTCACTCTCTATCTCAAATAAATAAATAAAATCTTAAAAGGAAAAGAAACTGACATATACAATTTTAAATTTCATCGGGTGCAAGATCATGTTGATTTTGTGTAATATCTGCTTTCAAGTATAAAAGCAAAATTACTGGGTTCTCAGTCCTGATTGGGTGACATCCCAAGGACTGAGACCCAAGAACCAATCTTATTGGAGGTCCCCAGTCTAGTACAGTCTGAAGTGAATCAGACCTAGGTAATCCAATCATTCTGGACTTCCTTTTTAAAATGATAACAAAGGTAATGCTTTCACTATAAATCAGTGAAGTCAAATAGAAAGAAGACAATTTAGCGGAGAAAAAGCAATCAGAATTGTGATTTAGAGATTTTTGAGAGAGAAGCAGGGTTTTCTTTTTCGGTTTCTTTAGCACCTCATTGAAATATGAATCGCAGTGGGCTACAAGCACAAAACCCGAAGCTTCCCTCTGGCTTCTGGTATGTACCTTTGTTATTCAGCCTTCTTAGAAAGGTTTCCAGCCTGTCCAGCTTCAGGTCCGATTCCAGCTGCATGTCTGGTCTGGCTTCAATATCTAGGCAAGCAGGAACCATCCATGAGAGAGTGTCATGGCGACTCTTCTGGTCTTAGACCCATGGGCATATCGGGTGCCTCGGTGACTTACCTTCCAAGGGTTTAGAAACTGGTGTGGTGCCCCTTGTTTTACTGCAGATAGGAGACGCTACTGGAGTTATGGCTGTGGGTGATGCCAAACCTGCAGAACATCAAAGAAGCTAGTTGGGGGGGGCGGAGCAAGATGGCGGAGGAGTAGGAGACCTGGATTTCGTCTGGTCTCGGGAATTCAGCTTAATAGGGATCAAACCATTCTGAACACCTACGAACTCAACAGGAGATCGAACAGGAGAGTAGCAACAACTCTCTGAACAGAGAAGCGACCACTTACTGGAAGGTAGGATGTGCGGAGAAGTGAATCCGAGGCGATATTCGGGAGGATAGACGGCGGGGGAGGGGCCTCCGCCGGCCGCTTCTGGCAAGTGATAGAGTCGCGGAGCACAAAATCGGAACTTTTAGAAGTTGGCTCAGCGGAGGGACGTCGCTGCAGTGGCTAAGCGGGGGGTGGAATCCTCCCGGGACAGTGTGGTCTCAGGACCCTCGGGGTCACAGAAAGACCAGGGGTGCCTGAGTGCGCCAGAGCTCCCAGGTATCGGAGCGGGGAAGCCGGCTGCAGAGACGGAGCAGAGTCGCGGGCTCTCAGCTCAGGGTTGCCATAAA